ACCCCAGGCCCTTAGTAGAAAGCTTTATCTTTTATTTAATTTATATTTTAGGTGTATGAGTGTTTTGCCTACATGTATGTAAGTGGACCACATACATGCAGTACCTACGGAGGGCAGAAGAGGGCACTGGATCCCCTGGGATTGGAGTTATAGATGGTTGTGAGCTGGAACCAAACCTGGGTCCTCTGTAAGAGCAGCCAGTGCTCTTAACTTCTGAGCCATATCTGCAGCCTCACGCTTTGTCTTAAAAACAAAGAAACAAAGGTTTTTACCTGGCCTTGCTTTTATTTTCCTATTTAATTCTATTTTTTGCACTGATTTGTTCCTATTGTAAAATTTCAAAATTATTGAAACTCGTTCCTTCACCTTAAGTAGAAAAATCCTGTCCAGGGTTGGCGAGATGGCTCAGCAGGTAAAGGCTCCTGCTGAAAAGTCTGATGACCCAAGTTCAATCCTTCAATCTGGGGGACCCACATGGTAGGAGAGCACTGACTCCCACAAGTTGACTTCTGACCTCCACACACACACACCCCAAAATAAATGTAAACAAAGCACTGCCCCCAAGTGTTTCTTCCCCAACAAGCACTTTCACACCACCTCAGTGGGACTGGTCTGGGTCTATCTCAGCCCTATCTCGAGCACCCCTGACCAATGGCCTCACTGCTCTCAGGTCAGGTTCCTGCTCCCAGCCCAATCTGCCCACCTCCCTGCCTGCCTGTCTTCTCTACTGTCCCTCCATCAGCCCAATTATTTCAGGGAACAGTTCACTGTCTTTCACCTAAGCCTTGTACACACCCAGGACACTTTCCTTACGACCTTCAGTGAATTACAAACTGTTCTTTGGGCACCTGAGTGACATCTAAGTCATTTCCTCCTCAAGTTTCTTTTGATGTATGAAGTTGGTTTCCCTTCCTTTTTATTTTTTGTCTTTTTGAGACAGGGTCTCCCTGTAGCCTCAGTTGGCCTGGAACTTACTACATAGACCAGGCTGGCCTCAATTTCACAGCAATCTGCCTGCCTCTGCCTCCCGAGTGCTAGGATTAAAGGTCTGTGCCACCATGCAGGGCAGTTTTTTTTTTTCCTCTTGAGACAAGGTCTCACTCTGTGGCCTGGAACTTGATGGAATACCCCTGCTTCAGTCTCCCAAATTGAATACTGTTTCAACACTCACTGCTTCCTGACCCATCTCCTCCAAATGAGAAGCTACCAAGTTAAGACCATCCAAGAGTTACATTGCTCAGTGACCCACCACAGTGACCACTGCCTTTGACTTACACTGTCATCACAAGACAGCATTCCTTAGCTGCCCCTATCGTTTCACACTGTAAGAGGTCTGGGGCCTTAGGCATGAGAACCATGTTCCTGGACCACTTCCTCCTACTGGTGGAGCACCTGGGTCTCCCAGGACTGAGCCCCTCCCACTAATGTGGCCACTGGCCTCATCTTGGCTCACTGCCTAGGAAGCACCCCACTTCCCAGCTTGGATGCTCCTGAGATTTGAGGGATTTCCTCCTGTCTCCGCTTGCAGTAGGTGACACAGCCAGGTCCCCTGGCTGATTTGCTGAGGCTTTTCCTACCATCTCTAAGCTTCACATGGACAGCAAGACAACTTACCAGCTTTCAGGAAAGACTTGTCTGCTGTCTACCTTCTCTGGAGTCCAGGATAGAAGCTGGGTTGTCACTGAAATGTGGGAAGAGCTGGCTTGCAATGCTGTCTGCAGAAGCTGGTTTGTCCTTGGGGTTTTATCAGAGTCCCTCCCTCCTTGTCCCTAGTGTAGCCTTTCCATGTGGACAGAAGGGGCCAAGCAGGCAACTACTAAGCCCTCCTTCACAGCAGCCTCAGCCTTACCATGCTTCAGTCTGGGTTTGAATCAAACTTCAGAGGCCACCCCCAGCCAGGCTAGAGCTCCCCTGACAGCAGGCTGTGGACCTGGTTGCTAGCAGGGCTCTGGAAGTATAGTCAAGAAGCAATTTGACTAAGGCAGCTTCAGGGGATGTATGTGGGGGGGGGGCAGGGGTTGTTGGGAGGAGGTACATGTCTCCATTCAGGGACTGGAAGCTAGAAAGATAGACAAAGTGGTAATTAATGCAACACATGCACTTCTACAGGACCTTGAGCAGTGGCCTTGCCAGCTGGCTGTACACACTGGGAGACCTGTACACACCTTTGCAAGTGTGGCATCAGGGGAGAAGGCTAACCTTGGGCTGAGAGACAAGTACAGCTGCTGAATGCGCTAAAGCAGCATCTGCACAAGGGGGCCGATGTGCACAGAAATGGCAGTGCTGTCTCACCATCTGTGGCGATGGCTCACCATGCTTGTTTTGTGAAACAGGGTCTTACTGTGTAGCCCTGGCTGGCCCAAAACCCACTATGTAGACACCTCCTGAGTGCCAGGATGACAGGTGTGCACTACCAGGCACTCCTGTTTTTGCGGAGTGTCTTGCACATGCCATGCTGGGCAAACACTCCACCTGCCTTCACACACTCTGTAATTGCAGACAAGTGGCTTTCTTTTTCCTGAGACCATGTGTCATGTTGCCCAGGCTGATCTCTGAGAGTTCCAGGGCTACACAGTAAGACCCCGTCTCAAAAACAGAAACAGAAATTTTGACAAATACTACATTATGGATGCCTAGTCTAATGAAAACATTGGGCTATAAACTCAGCCAACACAGAAAGTCAAATACTGACTTGACTTGTGTGGGGTACCTAGAATAGCTGAATTCAGGGACACAGTAGAAAAGTGGCTACCGAGTGTTGAGGAGTGGGGGAGAATGAGGAGCTAGTATTTGATGGGTACTAAGTTTCATATGGAGATGAAAATGTCCTTGAGATTGATTTGCCCCAGGTGTGGTGACACACACCTTTTATCCTAGCACTCAGAGGCAGGCGGCCTCTGTGAGTTCAAGGCCAGCCTGGTCTACATAGTGAGTTACAGGCTAGCTTGGGCTACAGGGTCCTGTCTCAAAAAGACCACCCCCCCCAAATATATGTATTTTTATATGCATGAGTGTTTTGCCTTCATATATATAAATGCACACCATATACATGCAATGGCCACAGAAGCCAGAAGAAGGTGTTAGATCCCCTGGAACTGGAGTTATGGATGGTTGCTAGCTACCATGTGGGTGCTGGGAACTGAACCTGGGTCCTCTAGCAGAGCAACCAGTGCTCTTAACTGCTGAGCCATCTCTCCAGCCCTGAATTTAAAATATTTTAAAAGCATGCCATAAATTAATGTCAGAACATGAAGATGACAATGTCAAATGTCAAAACTGAAATTTGGAAGGAATGACAGGAGTGTGGGAAAGTAGTCTGAATTAGAGACAGAAATCTGAGTTTCCTTAGAGTAAAAGCAGAATCACACAGAGGAAGGTGCATACAATGGAAAGGGATGGTGGCTGAGATGTCCACTTTTGGCATGCAAAAGGAAGGTGGAAGTAAAAACTAGATCAGACAGGAGCACTAAGTGCCCGGTGCTCATGGAGGAGACAGCAGGCAGGACAGAGGGTTGGTAAAGTCATAGGAAGCCATAGTTTTAGATAGGTAATGGCAAAAGCAAACCATAGCAAGAAAGCAAGCTCAGGAGAGAGACAAGAGATTATGTGTCACATGTGGAAAGTGAGCCAGCACTTGAAGGCTGAAGCTGGGCTGGGCTAAATAACAGTGCATTATGGGTCAGCCCTTGGCTACAGAGTAAGACTCAACAACAAAAACAGCAACAAGAAAAGCTCAGTAGGACTTGCCTAGTATGTACAAAACCCTGGGTATGATCTCCAGTACCAGAGAACAGGGTGTGGTGGTACACACTTGTAATTACAATACTCAGGAGGTAGAGACAGGAAGATCTGAAATTTAAGGGGATCCTTGGCTATAAAGCAAATTCTAAGCCAGCCTGGACTACAAGAGACTGTCCCAACCAACCAACCAACCAATCAACCAACCAACCAATCAACCAACCAACCAAAACAAACAACCAAACAAACAAAAGCAATCCACAGACAAGGAGACAGTTATCAAAGCAGAAGGAAACTTCAGCTTTGGTTTTGAGGCTGTTACTGTCAGTAAGAAAAAAAATGTGACAATGTGAAAAAGCACATGAAGAACACCCCCACCCTTAACCCTACAGGCCAGTCAAGGCCTTCTTGCTTTGAGTGGCCCTCCCAAGCACAGTCTGGTGCTACCCAGGTCCCCTGATGACACAGGTACACAGTCAAGGTTTCCAACCACTCTTCGGGGCTGGCTTGCAATCTTGAGGGCACCATGAAAAACGAGATCTCTTAAGGTAGGGCATTAGGTTAGCCAGCAGTGTGGGATGAATTCTCTGGTTTATCAGGAGAGGGCTGGGCTATCCATTAGGCACAGAGAATTTCAGCTCAGACAATTAAGATGTAAAGTACTGAGGTGTGTTCTTAGGAGAACCACTAGAGGGCACACCAGAGGGCAGGGCCCTCAGACAAAGGAGGAGCTACATCTGTATTTCTAACCAGTTCCCAGGTGAACACCATCACACACCTGGCCTGTGCATTGAGATCTGACCATCTGTCCAAATTAAATGGTGGGAGAAACCTCAAACCCCCCAATCTTGCTGTGATTACACAAAGGGAACAAATATATTGTTTTATTACCTGTGACATGAGCTATGCATACATACTTTCTAGCATCTTTCGGTAGACCAGCTTTCTATATTTTTTCTCTTTTTTCCTTTAGAATTTAGTAACCAGGCAAAAGACCAGGCACTTGCTGTGTATCTAATACAGTCTGCCCTGCATCAAGTGGATTCAACAAACTGCACCAAAAATGGTTTTTGGGAAAAGTTTCTGTGCCAGATATATACATTTTCTCATATCATTAGAGCCCAAACAATACAGTTTAACAACTATTTACATAGCATGTTCATCAGAGGTTTTATAACTAATATAGAATTACACAGGGACTTCAGCATGCTCGGACTGGGTCCTGGAGCCAACCCCAAGGAGGTCACGGCAACCGTACTTACTGACAACTTGATGGGAACTAGGCACTCTTCGTCTTAGTTTTTGGTGCACTCCAGGCTGCGTTGTGTTGGGATCTTGTCTTTGCCTTCCTACTAAAGAAAGACTCAACTACTTCCCACAGCGAACATTCTAGATACAAGCTAAGAAACTGGCTCCACTGCTTCAAACAACTCTGCCCAGCTTTAACAGGCTAGAAGAGTAATGAGCCGACAGGGTTGCAGGAGCAAGTTGTGGTTTTCCACTCCTCAAATGGTCTCAGGGGTACCTGAATTAAAATGCAGGTCATGGAGGCAGAGGGGCAAGGACTCCAGCACACAATAGCTAGATTTGGGCACTTCCCAGCTGCCTTCTTGGCTGCTACTACACAGTTCATTTTGCACTGAAAGCATTTGCTAAAACTGCCTCAGGAAACTAGAGGAGTGAGCCTTGCAAGCACAAAAGCGACTGAAACAAATGCACAAATATTACTCTTTCAAAAACTCAAGGAAAAAATGGAATCCAGGGAAACAGACCTTCAAGGCCAAACTACTCAGAGCAAAGTGGGGGGTGAGAACAGTGAGGTCTGCTCAGACAGGCAGCTGCAGCACGGGTGCTCAGGGCTCACACAGCTCTGAGCTGGCAGGATTTCCAGCCACCCAGAAGAAAAGAGCCAGTGGCCTTCCTGCCAAAGACACCTCTTGCATAACAACCACAGGCCACAGGCTATTTTCCTCTCTGGAAGATTCCACCTAAGTATTTTCTCAAGTGTTAGTAACACTTTCAGACAGCGCAAAACAGTCTAGACAGGGGTTACTTGTGAAGGTGTCTTCTTCCCTCCTGAGTGAGTCCTTAGAGACCAGATGTCTATCTCTGATAAGCAGCATCTACCATCAGACTGTCAAGAGGGAAACCTGGGGGCTGGAGAGATGGCTCAGCAGTTAAGAACACTGAATATTCTTGCAGAAGACCGGGGTTTGATTCCCAGAACCCACATGGCAGCTAACAGCTGTCCGTAACTCCAGTTCCAGGGGATCCAACCACCTCTTCTGACCTCTGCGGGCATTGCATGACATGGGTGCACTTCCATACATGCAGGCAATACACGCATACACATAAAATAAAAAAAATATATATTTGTAAAGGGAAAGCTGCTCACAGGCAATTTACAGCTCCTGTTTTTCCAAAAATCTCCTCTCTTTTTTTGGTCCCAGTTTTAACAAGGAAACTCACAGCACAAAATGAACTTTGTGTAGTTATGTAGATGTTAAATGATGGACCAAGAAATGTTACTATAACAATTCCCAAATCATGCTGGATTAATTGCCTGTTCTAGCAAGTTTTAAAAACAAGCCAGCTAGTGGAAGACATTAATTTTTCTATATACACTATTTAGCAGTGGTTGTTTTGCCCAAGAAGATAAATCTAGAACATTAGATTTTTCTTTTCTCAGACAGGGTCTCATGCAGCCCAAGCTGACCTACAATAAACTATATAGCCAAAGCTGATTTTGAACATTTTTTGCTGTTGAGACAGGGTTTCCCTGTAGCCCCAGCTGGCCTGGAACTCACTAAGCAAACTAGTCTGACTTGGGTATCTTTGAGATCTGCCTGCCTCTGCCTCCCAAGTGCAGGGAAAAAGGCATGTGCCGCCATACCTGGCCTGACCTTAAAACTTTTAATTCTCCTACCTCTACCTCTGGAGTGCTAAGATTAGAGACATGCACCACAACACCTCATTTTATTAGAAGTTAGGGATGGAACTCAAGGCCTTGTGTATGGTATGTAGACATATTACAGACAACTGAGCTACATCCCAAGTCCTAAGGACTATTTTTTCTTTTAAAAAGATTTATTTTGGTGCTGGAGAGATGGCTCAGCGGTTAAGAACACCGACTGTTCTTGCAGAAGACCCAGGTTCGAATCCCAGCACCCACATGGCAGCTAACAACTGTCCGTAACTCCAGTTCCAGGGGATCCGGATCCGACAGCCTCTTCTGTCCTCTGCAGGCATTGCATGACACAGGTGCGCTTACTCTACATGCAGGCATAACACTCATACACACAAAATAAAATATTTTTTTAAAAAAAGATTTATTTTGGGCTGGGTGTGGTGGCATACCCCTTTAATCCCAGCACTCCGGAGGCAGAGGCACGTGGATCTCTGAGTTCAAGGCCAGCCTGGCTGACATAGTGAGTTACAGGTCAGATGGGGCTACAGGTAGACCCTGTCCAAAAGAGGCCCCCCCAAATATTTATTTTTATGTGTATGAGTTATTTTGTCCACATGCATGTATGTGCACCATGTGCATACTTGGTGCCCAAGGAAGCCAGAAGAGGGTGTCAGACCACTTGGAACTGGAGTTACAAGCTGCTGTGAACTATCACGTGGGTGCCAAGAACCAAACCCCTGGTTTTCTGCAAAAGTAGTAAGCACTCTTAACTGCTGAGCCATCTCTCCAGTCCAAAAGTACTTAATAAAAAGCTGGCCTTCTTTGATGAGGAATTCTTATAACATGAGGGGTTTCAATGAAGAACCTAGAAGTCAGAAACCCAATTTCTCATGTGACAATAATGCACACAGTTGGAAAGGAGATGTTAGTGCCATTAAAATCAGCGACACAGATGGACTGGGCTCCAGATAAGCTGGTGCACAGGGGAAGGAAGCTGTCCTCTTCCCCATTCTGCCCTAGAGGGCAAAAAGAAACAGAATCAGAGATATGCCAGACCTGAGTTTCCTAGTGGTATTCATGTTAAAATTCACTTTTTGCTTTAGAATTTAGAAATTACACAGAGATGCAAGTACTACACTAGAAAATGAGAGACACCTTTTCTCTTATAAACATTCTTATGACTGTACTGTGCTCTCCAAAGCTTTAGGACAATTTTGAGTTTCAAAGAAAAACTTCCAGGGCAGATAGGCTACTAACTCTTGACAGATGCCTGGAGGAGGAAAGCAAAAAGCCATGTCATTTAAGCTGGCATGGAGGATTTCTTTCCCCCAAGATAAGGCCTTGGGCTGGAGGGATGGCTCAGCAGGTTTAAGTGCTTGCCATGCAAGCCCAACCACTCAAGTTTGATCCCTAAAAGCCATGTAAAGGTGGAAGACAAGGCAAGGCCTTGCTGCATAGCCTTAGCTAGCTTCAAACTCCTGATCCTCCTGCTGGGACTGTGGACGGGCACATGCTGTCACTGAATTTTTATGGACTGAAAATTACAAGTCTAACAAGAATAAAGGTAGTCAGGAGCTTTGGTTTAAGACGACTGTTGATGATGGCCCAGCTACTTCATCTAATCCCTACCTTCCACTTCCACCAGAAATAATCATCAGGGCAGGAGTAAGTTTCCTTACACTTGCAGCTCCCTCTCCTGTCATCTGGATGCCTGCAGGCCACAGTGGTCTGTGTCACCATCACTGCCCTTCTGCCCACCTGAGGCTCTGGAAGCCAGCACTGAACATGCTCATGACATTTGGGAAGTGGATCTTGCACCAGAAATGTGCTATAGCTGGGGTGAGTGGGAAGGACTGGGGGTAGAGGCCCGAGGTGGGTACCAGAGACTTGCTACCTGCCTCTTTTCAAGATTCCTGGCATCAAATTGAGAGAGAGGATGACACTTTCAGGCAATAGCATTGTTGCTTAGCTCAAACCGTGGTTGCAATAGGGGTCTGCCCTGATGATAAAAGTGACAGGGACACATGGACACACAACAGGCACACACATCAAAGCCTTGCTATTTTTAACAATGTACTTTATACAAAATAACCAGTTCATATGGAAATAAATCGACAGATCTCTCAAGATCAAAAAGCTTTTTAAAAAGTTCTTCCAAAAAATTATCCAACACACATATCAAACTAACTATTGAGGTAAGTGTCGCTCTCAGTGAAACGGAATCAGCAGACCACGACAAAATATATACAATATAAAAATAAATAGCATTCCCCTTTCAGTACTGGCCAGGGTGGTTCACAGGGCTTTCATTTTTGTAGCAGGAGATGAATGTCTTACACTGTGTGCAGGCTGGCAGAGCCAGGCTGGGGCCCCTGGAAGCTGTCCATAAGGCAGGTGAGGTACCCTTGCTTGGGGAAATGAAGGGGCCACAGAGCTACAGAATGAGGTGGGGGCAGCAGCATTGCAATAAATTACTAAATATTCATACTTCAGTCCCCACCATACCGAGAGAAAGAGAGAGAGAGAGAGAGAGAGAGAGAGAGAGAGAGAGAGAGAATGAATAACCTAGGCCTAGCTAACAGGAGGACCACTGTCTCCACCTCACCCTTAGAGTGTGTGTTTAAGCCCAGCCCAATAAGCAGAGGGATCAAAAGCTAGCACCAAGGCAAAGCTTGTATCAGTCTCCTTGGATCAGGGATGCAGCCCAGCTTGCCCAAACCCTGCCTTCTCAAAGGGAAAGTGATCCATTTCTGGTCCTAAAGCCCCACAGAAAAGGGAGGTCAGTGTCTCTTCACTCAACAAGTCTCAAACCACATCTGATTCCAAGTCAGTGTTCTAATCCAAGGCGCAAAAAAAAAAAAAAAAAAAAAAAATGCTTCTGCATGTCCTGCCCACATGCCACGGGCTCTCGCTGCAGCTGCTGACAAATGCTTTGGCCTTTCAGAAACCCTCAGGATTGAATATTCTATGACTCACTGATGCATGGGAGGGAACTCCACAATGGGAGTCTATAATAGCCAGGGAGTGAACTAAGAATCCTACACCAATGGGAAAAGAATGCTAGGAAACCAGCTGAGCTTATCTAAATATGGATTTCTAATCCATGTTTTAGAACTCTACATCATCAACTTGTCCTTGGTTTGGGACCTTGGATTAAGCCTTCCTGTGAAATTCCAAGTTAGTTGTTTTGGGGGGAGTGGTACTAGGATGACACCTAGAGCCTTGTGTATGCTGGGCATGTGCTCTACCACTGAGCTATACCCCAGAGCTCTTTTTACTTTTGATTGTGCTTGGTATTTTTGAAACAGGGTCTCCCTGTACCTCCAGCTCATCTGGAACTTGCTATGGAAAGCACGCTGGCGTGGATTTCAGAGCTCTGCCTGCCTCTGCCTCCTGAGTGAAGTGCTGGAGCGCTGGGATTAAAGATATGTGCCACCATGCCCAGCTTTTTACTTTTGAGACAGTCTTGCCTAGTTGCCCAGGCAGGCTTTGAACTTGTGATCCTTCAACTTCAGCCTTTTAAGTGGCTAAGATTATAAGCTCACATTACTAGGTCTATTTTATTTTGTGGTGTATTTTTGAGATTGAACACAGGGCCTTGCACATGCTAGGCAAGTGCTCTGTCATCGAGCCACCTCTCCAGGCCTCAAATTAAGTCTTAAGAGCAGTGTATCATTTACAGATTTGAACTTCCATTAAATGAAAGCTTAACCAAATGGCATGACTTAAGGGCTTGTTTGTGACAACCTTGGTGAGGGTTATATTGGGACATATGTGAATCTGGGACTGCTTTTAACAGGCCTTCTTTTGATGCCAGTAGAAATTAGCATAAACAACAACCACACAACAGATACGTGCTATCAAAAATAACATTAAATGGTTAGTCGTGAGAAAGAACATAAAAGACCAGCATAGGTTGTGCCTTCTGAGAGCAGCTGGCCTGGAACCTGGGCTCAGTGCTGCACAAGCTCAGCCAGGTATGAACTAAAGCCAACCTGGCCTAGAGAGCAGAGTGGCCGGACCTTTATTTTTAAAGATGGGATAGAATGTTATATGCATGAGAACCCTGCGTATTTTCTCCTACCACAAGAAATTTTAGCCAATAACTCCTACTACTATTTTATTTAACATATTTCACGGGGGTAAGTATATTCACACACCCATGAACCTTCTAAAAGGCTCTAATTTTCTTTCAGGATCTTTTTTCTTTTAGGCTTTGGGGAAACAGATGCTAAGTTATGAATAAGCCTGATAAAGGTAAGTCAAACACCAAATCAAACAGAAGAGTGCTTCCAATTATGCATAGATCTCAGCTATATCCTTCTGGGGACCACTGAGTCAGCACACGGACAAGGTGATGGTGACCTATAGGATATAATGTCCTTCTAGCCTGAGAGCAAACCTTTTAAGACACCCTTACACAGTACTTTCTAAGTATTTCATATCCCATAATCATCATTTCCCTACTGGAGAAGACAGCAAATGCATGTATTTGCATCTGCATAAGACACTTGGAAAGAGAAATGCTAGAGGAAGAAAGCTAAGAATGAAAGATCTCGTTTGGGTGTGAGTTTATGAGACTCAATAGCAGCTCAGGTCACACATGCTCCTGATTCTGGCAGCTATAGGAAACTTTTAGCAGATCTATACTTCCATTGGACTTTCCATTGGGAGGGAGGAAGGGCCAGACCCTGCAAGAACTACACACCACCAAATTCCCACAGAGATACAACTAGACCAACCATATTGCTGTTGCTCTTGTTCACAGTGTCATAACAATATAGTTCAATTTCCTATTGCTTTTCCTTGATAAACCAGGAAGGGAAAGTAGGGATAAAGGAATTGACTGATTATTATTTACAGCATCCCTTTAACAACAGGAAAGTGAGGGTGGGATCAGATTGTGCTCAGCATCCTCTGCAGTTTAGGATCTTGGAAGAGGGCTAATGGTTCCTAATAGGGAGTTAGGAGCAATACATCATTATGTTAGTGGCATAAGGCTGTGAGCCCAGAACAGGTATCACCAACCCCATACCAGCTGCTCCTCCTTTCCCCTGATTTTAGACCAACACAGGAACTGCAGTAGTATGCTTTGATCAGGTTGACTTACACTAGGCTCAATAGCAGATCAAGATCCATTCAACAAATCTAACTTCTTTATTCTTCTAATATAGATTATGCCAATGCCAAGTTTCTGAGGAGATTTCAGATCAGTGACTCAGTTGACTTGCAAACACAAAACCCCAAGTTTGTTGGAAAGAAAACTTCCTATTTTGTTGTGCCACACCTAGAGGGCACCTGTGCACTCTCCCAGCCTTTCAACACCAGGAGGTTAGTAAGCAGTCACTTCCACTATTTGGGAGCAGGTGTTCTGTACTCCATCTCTGTAACTTGGATGTTTCCAATTTCTTTCTTTCCCTTGTCACAGATTGGAAGACTGTTCCACATTTACTAAGGAAGATGGAAATGGAGGGAAGGCTTCCACTGACCACCCCCTCCCTTGCCCAGCTAAATTTATAAAAAAACTAGGGCAGATTATTGTTTTATGGAGATCTCTTACTATCTCAAAAGCATGCTTTAAAATGTTATTCTTTTACAAACACTTGCAATTTCAAGGCATTTCCCTTAGTTTATTCTTTGTGGGAAATTCAAAAGTTTAAACAGAGGTCCTAACTTTGGTGACATCTCAGCTAAAATAAAATACAGAATGCTAAAGCAGGGAGAATCCAGTGTAATTCACTTCTAAATCCATAATAAAGTAATTTAATACTGTAAAATTGTTCCTACCACAAACACAACAAATGATTTTCAAGAACTTGTCCTTGATAATAGCTACTTTAAATCATGACTGATTATACTATGATTCACTTAAACTGAATAAAAACTATACACACTGAAATAGTCCTAAATTCAAATTGTAAATCTAAAGGATACACTTTCCTTACTCAAACCTGTGCAATTTCTTTATTGAGACTAACATATACAAGAAACCTGAGTAGTCACTTTCACAGACGTGATCTGTACTAGAAAGCTTTATGTGATGCCTTCTAGACCACAGGCTCGACAGGCCTATGAAGAAGCCACTTTATCTTGTAGTAAGTGAAACACTCTACAGCGCCCAATTCCTGGTTCACAACTATCTGGTAGGGCTGGTGGAAAATCAGGAAGGGACATGCTTTCCCAAGTCCAGAAGTTGGGCCACCAGGGTGAGGGCAGCCTGTCCTCTGGCTAAAACATCCAGTGGCCACATGACAGCACTGCCAACAAGCCGAGGTGAGTACTGAGAGGGGTAAGCACAGTACTGAGATTGACTGGAAAGGAGGTGCTTAGCTACTCGCTGTGGGACAGCCGCAACAGAAGTTAATGGCATTTAAGATGAAACCATTCCTGACCTCTCTCCCAAGCTCCTCAAAGCATTCAGTGTGACCTGACTGTAAACAGACCAAGACCATTCCAGTGTTGTGTGTCCACCATAGCTGGGAAGGACTCCCAGCTCCTCCATGTGCCCACCTGACCGTCCCACTTTATGTACAATACATTCACCACCCAAAAAAAAAAAAAGAAAAGAAAAGAAAAGGCAACATGAAAATTCTGTAAACTGGACCCAGCTCCAAAACATTAATACTACAAGTAGTCCCTTCCCCAAATATATACCTGAGATTAGCTGCTCATGAAAGTTTAACAGCACCACTCCAGCCTTACATGTACCCTCCACCCAAGTTTAAAGTGATTTTCCCTGAACAAGAGTCTTGGGATCTGGAGAAGGCAATAGGAACTCCAGGTACACTTGTTCTCGCTGTCTGTCAGCTGTACAGGTGACTCCTGTCATGGACCTCCCATAGGCTTCAGGCCAGTCATCTGCAGAGTGTGCATCTAAGGCCAGGGACAGTTCCAGCTCCTGGTGGCTTGATTCACAGCAAGAGGTGGAGTAGGGTGTCAGGGACAGAGTCGGACAAGGACCACTCCCCCAAGTCCTCATGGTCTGTCTCCACGTGCAGCTTTCCATTTTCTTGGGGGTTATTTCCTCCTTAGACTAGCTCTGAAAGGAACAAATGAAAATTTTGTCAAATTTTTTTTTGGTCTTTTTTGAGACAGGGACTCCCTGTAGCCCCAGCTGTCCTGGAACTTACTAGGTAGACCAGGCTGGCCTTGAACTCACAGAGATCATCCTGCCTCTGCCTTCCAAGTAAAGGCATGTACCACCACTCCTGGCTTAATTTTGTCAATTGTCATTGAGCTTGAGAGCACAGATCTAACAATCAAAAAATGTCACATGGGGGGCTGGAGAGATGGTTCAGTGGTCAAGAGCACTGGCTGCTCCTGCAGAGAACCTGGGTTCGGTTCCCGGAATCCACATGGAGGCTAACAACTGTCCCTAACTTCAGTTCCAGAGGCTCTGTCCTCTTCTAGCCTCTGTGAACACTGCAGGACATGGATACACTAACATACATGGAGGCAAAATATACATACACACATTAAAAATACTGTCATATTCTGGAATATTTGGCTTTCAGATTTTTAGACTGTGTATGTCTAATTAACAAGGTATGCAAACAGTTCTCAAATCTGGAAACCTGAAACCTGAAGTGCAGGGCTCCAGGCATTTAGAAGAGAGAATTCAACCTACACTTGTTTCATGCACCTAAAGGGATAAAGATGCTCTACTTTTTGGTAATTCTTACCTGATCCAGAGGAAGTGTTGGGGGCTTATGTGGGGGCAGCTCTTCTGGTGATGCTGTGGGTGCTGGAGTCTTTGGGAACAAGGACTGTGACTGGACTGGATGCATATGCATTCTACAGCGGAAAAAAAAGAACAGTAAGACCTAATGAAAGGCCGGGCATGGTGGCACATGCCTTTAATTCCAGAGGGCAGAGGCAGGCGGATCTCTGTGAGATTGAGGTCAGCCTGGTCTATATAGTGAGTTCCAGATCAGCTGGGGCTACAGGGAGACCCTGTTACAACCCTCTCCAAAGAGTTAATGAGGACCTAATTACTAAGAACATATACATGAACATACTGCCTTAATTATGTAGCTGATCCAATTTGGAATCATTAATTCTGGGACAAAATCGCACATTGCTTCCTGGAATGATGCAGTAAGTGAGTAGGCTAAGCATGACTGAGCTAAACCCAGGAGCCAGTGAACCAAACCCAGAACCAGAAATATATTCCTCTCAGAACTGGACTGAATTCTTTAGGAAACAAAGCAAAGATAGGATAATGGTTTGTAAGGAGACTAAACAGACACCACACCAAATGCAAACATATACCGAGCCTTGATTGGACACTAGAGCAGAAAGAAATCACAAGAAAAGTGGAAAAACACCTAGGGGCTGGAGAGATGGCTCAGCAGTTAAGAGAACTGACTGTTCTCGCAGATGTAGGCAATATACCACACACATAAAATAAAAAATATTTTAAAAACAGATCTCTAAAAGACATTTCAGGGACAAGGAGGGAAATTTGAGGACGGCATGTTAGTGACCACCATGCTGTTTCTTGGGTGAAGCGTCAGTTTTGAGACTGAGGAGCAGGACACTGTTGTCCTCATTCTCAGTAGAAGTGAGGAGCTTAGAAAGGTAAGCGTCACAACAGCTGCAAGGTAATTTCCAGTGGCTTGAGGGAAAAGGCACAGAAAAGTAACAAAACATAAGCAGTTATTTAGACATGCAAAAACAAGCATGGAAAATGTTAGATGTGAGAGTGAGTGTGGCAGCACACACCTGCAAATCCCAGCACTGGGGAGGCTGAGGCAAGAAAACTGTGAGCTCTAGACCAGACTCAGCTACAGAGCAGGATTCCATCTCAAATGAATAAAAAACTATCACACACACACACACACACACACACGCACGCACGCACGCACGCACACGCAATTAAAAAATTTAACAAGAACATTAGCATGCACAAAGCCCTGAGCTCCATCCATACACCACATAAACTGGGTGTGGTGGTGCATGCCTATAATCCCAGCACTCAGGAGGCAGAGGAAGGAAGATCAGGAGTATTCTTAGCTACATAGTGAATTTGAGACCACCTGGGATAAAACCCCCATCTCTAGTAACCAGAGGGCTGGTGAGATGGTTCAATGAGCAAAGGTACTTGCTGTCAAGCCTTACAACTTCAGTTAGGTGCCCAAGACCACAAGGTGGAAGGGGAGAACAGACTTCTAATTGCCCACTGGCCTCCATGCATGTGCCTTGGCACAAGAACTCAGGCATGTGAGTGCACATACACTTTCTCTGATTCAATAAACAAAGAAATAAGATTTAAAAAATTAAGCCAGTTTGGGGCTGGAGAGATGGCTCTGTGGTTAAGAACATGTGACTGTTCTTGCAGAAGACCTGGGTTCGAATCCCAGCACCCATATGGCAGCTAACAACTATCCATAACTCCAGTCCCAGGGGATCTGACAGCCTCTTCTGACCTCTGCAGGCATTGCATGTCACGGTGCACTTACCTACATGCAGGCAATACATGCAGACATATAAAATAAAAATTAGCTGGGCGTGGTAGTGCACACCTTTAATCGCAGCACTTGGGAGGCAGAGGCAGGCAGATCTTTTTGAGTTCAAAGCCAGCCTGGTCTACATAGTGAGTTTCAGGACAGCTGGGGCTACTGGGAGACCCTGTCTCAAAAAGAACCCCCCACCAAAAAAAAAAAAAAAAAAAAAAAAAAAGCCAGGTGTGGTGGTGGTGGCCTAAAGACTGGCTTTGAACTCCTACTAAATTTTTAAAATTTATCTATTTTGAGTTTATGTGTATGAGCATTTTGCCTACATGTGTATGTAGGTGAATTCATGTCATACAATGCCCATGGAGGCCAGAAGAGGGTGTAGGATCCCCTGGAACTGGAGTTACAAACAGCTGTTAGCTGCCATGTGGGTGCTGGGAACTAAACCTGGGTGCTCTGCAAGAGTAACCAGTGTTAACTCCTGAGTCATCTTCTCTCCAGCCCATGAACTCTTGATCTTGCCTCATCTCCTTTTCTTTTTTTGGGAAACAGGTTCTCCCTGTAGCCCCATAGGAACTCACTAAGTAGACCAGGTTAGCCTCCAGCACACAGATATCCACCTTCCTCTGCCTCCTGATTACAGGAATTAAAATCATGCACCACCATGCCCAGCTCCCTACAGGTTCTTAAAGGGTCACCATAAACTGATGTGTAGAAGTTTCATAAGAACAGAATTTAACTTGATCCACTTCTATTTTTTTAATCCAAAGGGAGGAGTAAGAGCTAAGGAGGGAAACTTCGGCCCACATATACTCTGCTCCCCAGGGCAGACCCTCTTTAACTAAGTGGTTAACTAGGTGGCAATGTAGACTGACCTCTGCCTATAACTCATAAACTGTAGTTCTTGAGTTTGCAGTACCAATAATCTTTTCAGGTCAGACCCGGTGGTGCATGTCTGTAATCCAAGCACCAGAGGCAGGATAATTCCCGAAGGTCTGAGGCAAGCACAGGCAGTAGCATGAGACTTTGTTTCGAAAAGAAAAAAACCAAATCAAACCACAATTACCACCATCAATAAAAAAAACCTTTGTAGTTCTTAAAATAACAAAACTTCGTATCATTTAAATGCAAATTCACTGGAGTATATCCAGCACCACCAAACAAACAAAAGCAGGCCAGATGCCAATTAATTCTCACAAAAAGAAAAAAAATGGCAAAGGTAAAGCTGTGCTCTATTTTCATTAAGTCCTTAGCATCTATAATTCATATGCTTTTCTTGGTCTTGGACCATTAGTTTATATTCATTCCTAAGGCCACTGTTCTTCTTAAAAATTAACTTTATAATGCCAGGCATGGTAGTGCACGCCTTTAATCCCAGCACTCAGGAGGCAGAGGCAGACGGATCTCTTTGAGTTCAAGGCCAGCCTGGTCTACATAGTGAGTTCCAGGACAGTTGGGGCTACAGGGAGACCCTGTCTCAAAGAGACCAAAAAAAATTTTTTTTCTAAGAAAACAAACCCAAAAGCAACCTAATGCACTCTCACCCTGATGGTCTGTACAACTCTTGGAAAGGGCCTCTTATTCCGCTTCCGGTGCCAATATGCTCCATCATCACAGCTTGAAAGTGACCTAGGCCCTCTTCCTGACCACGATAGATGGTGCCCTCTGCAGAGAGGCCATTGTGCTGGGAGGCCACTGGATGGGGAGGTGGGTGGGCAGCCATAGGGGATGGGTATGCCCTGGGCTGAAAATGACTGGCTGGCCTCTGAGGAGTGTAAGGAGGCCTTGTTTGCAGCATCACACTGTGGGGTGGGAAAGCAGGAGAACCAAAACCCATTCCTGAACTCAGAGGTGGAGGAGTTCCATAAAGATAGTCGCTGGCCGACAGCGAACTCTGCCGCTTGGTGGCTGCATTATGGTTGTCCAGATCTAGAAATTCTTTGGGACTCTCTGGCCTTTCCATAGATTCATCCAGTTTTTCTTCCTCTGGACCCGGATTCTGTCCATCAGTTGGGACAACTTTAGCAGACACTGCATCCATTTGAGTTGGGGATGTTAAGGCAGCATTTAGTGTCTCACAGCCTTGCAGATTAGCTATGACATTCTTATCTGGGAAGAGGGGCCGTGGGGTTGGAGGGTGATTCCCTGGGGGTCCACTTGGGCTTCCCTGGGGAGGGAGAGGTCTCTGCCAATCAGAAAAGTCCTGTGGACATGTATAATAAGGAGTCCGTTGGTAAGGGTGATAGGAGGGTTGAGAGGGTGGTTGGTAGGGATATCTCACTCCCTGTTGGGGGCAGTAGCGGGGAAAGACTCCAGGATGAGGACTGTTAGCCTGGTAGCCCCTAGGGGAGAAAGGCTGAGGATGTGATCCTGGGGACTTCCCGCCTATCATAGGGGCCAAGCCTTGCAGGCCTGGATTCATGTGGTAATGTGTACCTGAATTAGAGTATTCTAGGCCAGGCATGTACAAGGGGGAAAACTGGTTCACAGTGCCAGCCATCAAACTGGGGTCTGTGCCAGGAGGTGTAGCTGCATTCTGTCCTGTACAGGGTATGGTCTCCTGCAATGTTTTACCTCTGGGGCAGAGTGGTTTTTCTGAACCACTGCCACCAAGGCCCTTCCCCTCTGACCTACAAGGAGATGCTTCACCAACAACCCCGTTTTCAGGGAGAGATCCTCTGTCTGCCACCACAGAGAGGTCTCTCATACAGCCTTGCACAGGTGGGCTGGTGTAGCTGCTGTCCAAAGGCCAGGTGTTCTTGCTCTTTGATGTTTTATAATTGTCTGCAGTTTCTGAAACATCACTTTTGAGTTCTGGGCCCTCCACTTCCCCTTCTTGTGGTGAGCTCTGCCTGGTACAGTTGGCTTGCAGGGGTGGTGCTGGATGAGGTAGCTGTTTGAGGTATACCCCCTCTGAAGCACAAATGTTTGTTGTTTTCTCTTCAAGTCCAGGCAAAGGCTCTGCTGGGAGGGAGAGCAAAAGAGTAAATCAGTAGTTGAAATGACAGTATCAATGGATGCAATAATGGAAAGAACATGACAAGCAGTCAGATGAAGAGGGTCAAGGCTGAGGTGACATGTGGCAATTCAAACCTCAGCTTGGTACTCTGCTAGGGAATCTCTGGAAAGGAGTCTCAATGTTGGGATCTGCACACTCCCTTTCGAAAAGGTCTAGAGGGAGAACACAGCACTTCTATAGTTACCAAAGAATAAGCATGTCTGTGTCTCCCTCCTATGCTGTCAGTCAGACTAGAAAGAAGCCAAGAGATAATTCACAGCTCCAGGCCCCAGAGTCAAAACATGTGAAATATGGCAGGAGAATACAGCTGTCACTAGAATTGATGCCCACGTAGGGGTGCAGTAAAAACCCAGGCAGTAAGAAAGACCAGGCACAACTCATGATGAGTGCTGGAATTATGGCACAGGCAAAGGTAATTCAGTACTTCTGCCTAGCTCGCTCACAGGCACAAATTTCCTCATGTGCTCAGTACTTACCCAAATCAGAAGCTGTGAATGAATGAACTTACTCATCCTATCTAGAAAGCTTTTCTGTTTTTTGATGATGAGATTGAGGGGCCTTGAGCATGACTATATGTGAATTAAAGCTAGCTATAAAATCAAAGTCACAAATTACAATGAAAATGAAAATCCAGGGCTAGAGAGATGACTCAGTGAAGAGCACTGCCTCTTGCAAAGGATCTGGGTTCAGTTCCTAGCACCCACATTGTGGCTAACAACCATTCTAACACCAGTTCCAGGGGATCTGACACCTTCTGTTCACCGCTACAAGCACTGCACACATGAGCAAAACACTGACACGAGTTAAAAAAAAAAAAAAAAAAAAGGGCCAGGGGGGGGATAATATTTTTTT